TATGTGTTGATTTAAGGGGATTATATTGGTGACCATGTAGGATGAAGTTTTCAAGTATCTTCACCCGGTGTTGAGAGAATTTAGGCGTGCGCGACGATGTCGAAGACCCGGAGCTTGATGGCGGCGTTGAGCACAAAGGGCGTGACGAAGGCGTGGATCATGCCCAGGCATTCCATGTGGCCAAGGATCTCGTCCTCGGTAAATTGGGAATTGCGAACCTCGCCAACGGATTGGTCATCATCGTCGAAGAACAGAGGATTATGGATCGATAGAGGCGACGTCATTGCCATTTGGATCGAGGGCGCAAAAATCGATCAGCAATTGGGGAGAGCTTTTGACAGCAGGAGACTTGAACTTGCGATCGATTCTCTCGATTTTTAGAATCTATTAGAACTGGAATTAGAGATGGAAGAGCTCCAAAATTGTAGAGTGGACCTCAGTTGTGATCGTCGATTTGTGGAGATGTGAGAGAGGAGGCTCCAATTTATAGCAGGGAGGGTTCACAGGAATTGGCTGGTTCCAGGAATGGCACCGTATGTAAAACCTTCGGGCAGGGTTGACCAGCGCAGTGCCAGTCAAACTCTCACTGTTTGCCGGTCAAAGGTGGTGGTATGGAACTTTTACACCAAGTTTTGTTTCACTTGGACACGAAATAATGGCAAGCATCGTATAAAGAGTGGAAATTAGAAAAGAGTTTTAGCGGAGACTGGGTCGCTGCAGCGATTGACACAAATTTGGGTTCGTCTTTGACGACTACACAATCGGCACGAATTCTGCATTGAAGACGTGCGAGTTTGAATGGATGTTCGCGTGTACATTTTAGAAACTAGTGTGAACTTGCATGTTAATCCCAAACGATTTAGACAGGCATTGATGACAAAGGTATCCTACACATGGTTGTTTTCTGTTTTCTTGGATGCTCGATCATAATCACAGAGACTTTATTCAAGGAGGATTTCCTTAGCATTAAAGTCAACTATCAAACTCGAGTTATGAGGCCTTTGCGTTCGAAGCTGTCAACGCAATCCTCAAACATTTGCTCCAGCGACTTGAATTGGATCCCAAGATCGTCCTGAAGGTTTCTGGAGTTGAATCCCGTGAAATATGACGACCTGCGTCTTGGACAGGAAGCTGGCGTGCTCGGTAGCGCTCATGTTGATCGAACAAACATATCTTCCAGTGCCTTTGGGATTCGTATAGGCAGGGAGGTGAGCTTGAGCAACGTCGTCGAGATGAACGTATCCAGCCTGATCGAAACAGTCCGTGGCTCCTACAATGTGTTTGGAATCTCAAAACTATTTTTGTTCTGCTTTCGAGATCACTCGCAGTCGGAGAATATCGGCAGCGCTTGCGGTGGCGTGGCCTTGGACGAGAGAAGTTCTCCCACGACGCTGGGAGCGATTGTGATCACCTCTATGCCGTTTTCTTTCCCAAACTCGAGTGCTGCTTGCTCGGGTAGAGTCTTTCCCAGACCATACCACATTTGGACTTGAAAAACTTGTAAGAATTCGTTCTTTCTTGCTTGTGGAAATAAGAATCTTACCTCAATCTCACGGCAGCAGTCTGGGGAGCTCCACACCGATTCATCAAGTTGTTCCTCGCACTAACAGAAGCCACGGATGACGTGCACACCACTCGCTTGACTTTGTGGATTGTTTCCAGGCATTGAGCACGTTCAGAGTTCCAAGCACGCATGGATCAACAATCTCGGTCTGGAAGAAGAACTAAAGACAAGAAAAAGCGAACCAGTAAAAGTTCGAGATACAAGACTAGACCATAGATGGCAGAGAGCTGTTGAATCGAAGGAGAAGCAAAGTTACCTCCTTGTAGCTGAAAGTCACGGCCCGCGAGATGGAAAACTTGGACAATATCGTCAAAGGCGGCTAATTCCGTGACAAAGTCAGCCTTCTTTCTCTCCCCCGGAAGCTCGCACAAACAAGAAAAGCAATTTCTAAGTAGAATCGATTAGCTTAAGTACCCCGACAACGCAATGTCCCTCCTTCAGTAGCCGCTTCACGAAGGAAACCAGATGCCCAAACCTTCTTCTCGTTCGCCATCGCCATGGAATGACCCCAAAGTTGAACACGGCTCTCTCTCACAAGAATTATCAGTAACCGGGAAACAGTGCTTTTTAAGTATTCAATGCTGGACAATGCAATGGAACTTTCATTCCCTTCGCTTGAGCGATGATGTCTATTAACCTGTAAAGCTAAAACATAAATCTGGGATGATTCATCTACCTGGTAACTAATAACAGATGCGGAATAACTATCACATTGTCGGGCTGGACCACCTTTCTGTCCTTGGCAGACCTCAAACACACATTACAAAAGCGCAAAGAGTAAACTCCTCACTAAATTGAATGAAAGATTACCTGCCACTGTGTCAAGTGCCTCAATCAACACGGCAAAGGTCTTGTCTGTTATAGTAATCAACGGAGCAAAATCAGTATATGCTCTACCACAGCAAGAGTTTGATATTGAATTTAGACCCGAGACTTCAAAGAAGAAGAGCCTTTGCCTCAAACCACCTAAGTTGGCTAAGTGACGGGTCAGCACCAAATTCAGAGAGCAAACAAGGGTAATGCCAACGGTCTGTTGGCAACTTACCCTTGAAAATCCAATACCCAACCCAAGCCAAATAATAATGCTAATGATTTTCATAGTACTTGTAAAGTTGTTTGAGATAGATAAATATAGAGTCCGTAGCCATGCAGTCGTTCCTCTAAGACCTGTACGAATCTGCAGAAATTGGCCTTTGATGGATCGCCCAGAAAGTTGTGCACGTGGAGAGCATCCAGCAAAAACTTCAAATGTAAAAGTTGGAGCATTTTTTTTTCTTGCAGGAAGAATTCAGACAGAGAGAGATATTATACTCGTCCACTTTTATCTTCTTTGTTTTAATTCTTGGATCAAATCAGAGAGATTTTATTCAAGGAGAAGAAGTGTGTTCGTGTTATTTGAGTTGCAGTAAACTACTAACTCAAAGTTAAGAGGCCTTTGCGCTCCAAGCTCGCAATGCAATCGTCAAACATTTGCTCCAGAGACTTGAATTGGAGCCCAAGCTCATCTTGAAGCTTTCTGGAGCTGAATCCCTTGAACTCTGCCAGAGAGACGACCTCGATCCTGCAAGAAAGCAAAGGAATGAGAATAAAACAGCGACAGAAAACAAAGCTTTTTTTTGCGTGATCTTACTCGTCGGTGGAGGCGATTTGGTGCTTGGGATACCGCTTGGACAAGAAGCTGGCGAGGTCAATAGTACTCATGTTGATCGCAGAACAAACGTATCTTCCACTGGCTTTGGGATTTGTATAAGCGAGGAGGTGAGCTTGAGCAACGTCGTCGAGATGGACGTATCCAGCGTAATTGAACCACTGCTTGGCTCCTGCATGGAATCTGAAATCATTTTGTTTTTCTTCCGAGATTGTAATTAAGGCTTTACCTTGGAGCTGTAGGACAATATCGGCAACGCTTGCGGTGGCCCTGGACGAGAGTAGTTCTCCAACGATTAAGCTGGGCGCGATTGTGATCACATCTAAGCCGTTTTCTTTCCCAAACTCGAGTGCTGCTTGCTCGGATAGAGTCTTCCCCAGACCATACCACATCTAGACTTGAGAAACTTGTAAGAATCTTTGCTCATGGAAATAAGAAACTTACCTCGATCTCCCGACAGAAGTCCGGGGCGCTCCAAACCGATTCATCCAAGACGTCATCGGGCTTGAAGTCGTTCCTCGCGCTAACAGCAGCCACGGATGACGTGCACACCACTCGCTTGACTGTTGTGGATCGTTTGCAGGCATTAAGCACGTTCAGAGTTCCAAGCACGCATGGATCAACAATCTCGGTCTGGAAGAAGAACCAAAGAACAAGAAAAAGGAGACAGTAAAAGTTCGAGATACAAGACTAGACCGAAGCTGCCAGAGAGCTGTTGAATCGATGGAGTCAAGCGAAGTTACCAGTGGATCCTCCTTGTACCGGTTAGTCACGGCAGCCGCGATATGGAAAACTCCATGGCAGCCTTGAACAATATCGTCAAAGGCGCCTGGCGTGACAAGGTCGGCCTTCTTGAGCTCCAGCCTCTCTCTCGCCCCCAGAAGCTCCCACAGGTGGGAAGTCTTGCTCGCATCATCTATATCACAAACAAGAGAATGGGGGGTTTCCCTTCGTTTCTATGTACCTGGATCGCGCACAGTCCCGACGACGTAATATCCCTCCTCCAATAGCCGCTTCACGAGCCAAGATGCCAGGAAACCAGAAGCGCCAGTGACACACACCTTCTCGCTGTCCATCAAATGGCCCTAAAGTTTGACCACGGCTCTCCCACACAAGAGTGATCAGTAACCTCTTAGTAAACAATGGAGCAAGAAGCAAACCGCTCTTTTATAAGAAAAACTTGTGTTTGATTGAGGTTGCTTGATGTTCCATCAACTTTATTTTTGCGTATGCAATTGTCTTGCTGACGACATCAAAGTTCAGACTAAATAACAACAAAGTTCCTTGCTGACGAACAACATCCCACAAAGTGATGCACCAAGTTTTCACACCAGTACGTACTAACACAATGAAAAGGTCTCCAAAATAAAATTAAAAAAAAACTATGTATGCCTGCACACCAACACTGCAATAGTGGCTCAAACAATGATTCAAGTATCAAAACTAGACGGTCATTGCCTGGAGGAGGGAATACACATTTGGGTACTGTTTCCGAGAAGGATCCCGAATACCATACTTGCGCTTGGTACGACACTCGTTTTCCAGCCATGCCCTGGCTCCGCTGGGTTGTTCCTTGGCCTTTTTCAAGACTTTCTGCTTCTCATGGGGAAGGGTCTTTAAGACTAGCTTGATAGCCCCACTGGCACACTCCTTAGGTTGCCCAGTTCCTTAAGCATGTAGATTTCATCCTGTCCAAGGTTGGTAAAGTATTGGCCCAGCTCAAGCTCATGCGTCGTGTACGCTACTTTGCCTTCCTCTGCACTCGGGGCTGGGCAGATGTACACATAGTGCACCACACAATGTCCAGTATACCATCTTGCATCACAAACTTGTACTCTGTCTTCTTGTGTGTTTCCGGACTAACAGTGACCTGGAGTGCAAGGATACGTAACACTCGCTGCTCGTTTACCCACGCTAACACGCGATCCACATACTTGAACGAGTACTTCCCGGGCAACATACTGCCTGGTGCGGCTTCCAGTTATCTGGCCTGATAATGCTGGTTCACCCTTTAAAGCTTTCAGCTGGAACACTCCGATTTGTTGCCCTTGGAAGTTCAAACCGGTAGCCTGGATAGCCTCTCCAACCCACTTCCGGCCAAATCACATATCTTTTCTTGAGTTTGTTCACGAGGTTGACCTTGAGCTCTGATGAGCGATAGACTGTTGATAAAAAAAAGGCAGCGACAACTGGCAACGACTGCTCATATTTGTGGCAACTGCCTAATGCCACATCATCCTAACTGCCTAGCTAAGCATCTACCTGAGCATCTAATCTCAACACTCCCACTCAGGCATGTCTACAAACTAAGACAAAGCCTGAACATAAGATGGTTAGCATGCATACAACTGATGAGAAAAACTGCAAAAAGAAAAAACTCTGGTGGTACTCCACTGACTCCCACTCAAAGCAACTACATCTTGTTGCTCTAGGGCTTGCTGCCTCTGCCACTCTTGGCTGCTTTGCCATCGCTCCTTTGGCTGTTGCTGCTCCTCTCTTGGAGCTCTTTTGCCACTGCTGGACTTCTCAGCCAACTCTGCCGCTGCTATCTGTCACTGCTCACTTGGCTGCTGCTGCTCCTCTCTTTGAGCATCTTGGCCACTCCTGCCGCCGTTCTGCTTCTCGGCCTGCCGAGTCACTGCTCTGCTGCTCCTCTCGTGGAGCATATCAGCATCTTCTGCTGCTCCAGGGCTTCTGAGTCTGCTATCTGCCACTCCTGGCTCTGCCATTTCTTTGTTGCTGCTCTCTAGGCTACTTTGCTTTTGCTGTTGGCATCTGGAAGCTTCTTCTTCTTCTTCATCCTTCACAGGTCCTCAAGATCTGTGCTCCATTCCTGGAGCGCTCTAATACCATGTTAGCAGTGGAGAGATGCACATGAGGAGGAAGAACTTTCTCTCTCTGTATTCAACTGTATACATATACATGAAACTACTGCCACATGGGCATAATTACATGCCACATCATCTCTACTACTCCCACTCACATCAGGTGGCTGATCCAAGCTTGAATCTAAACTTGAATCGTGCCTAGCTAATCTAAAATGATGAGTATGGAGAGTTGATGAAAAAAGCATATGAAAAACTCATCAATCAACTACCCAAAACTTGGTTTTTGATCTTGGACTTGCTTGCACACTCTTTGTTCCTTGTTATGGCTTCAATCTTGCCACTAGCATGTGGTCTTAGCTATGAACTACCAGGCTTCCACTTCTACTGCTACTAGGCATTTGAATCCCCATAAGCATCCTTCCCAATTGCTGGAAATTCCTACAAAGAATTGTTATGCAATGTTTTTGAATCTTGCTTGATCCAATTTTTGATGTGGGTTGCTGAAATCTCTCAATCTCACACTGGCTTTATGCTCTGCTTGCCACTACTTGCTGCTCAGTGCTTTTGCATGGCCTGGTGCCTTGATGCAATGCCTCAAGCATCTAGTGCATCCAACAAAAGCTTCAAGCATTGCAAAAAAAGATTGCAATTATGAGGCTCATCCTCCTCCTTGTCACTGGCCTCTTGGCTAGCAAGTGCCATGCCCAGGATCAAGGAGTCTAACTGCTCTGATACCATGATAAAAATAGGCAACAACTGCTAGTAACAACTGCTCATAATGTATATATGAAGCTATCTATTATAATAAGGAGGAGTTGCTGAACTTTCTGGGCTGCCAGATCCAACCAATCACAGCCATCCAATGGGAAGGGGTTATTTTTTTAACCACGTGTTAGCAAATAATCATGCTGATGTTTGCTCTCGGCCAATGGGAAGTAGCCAAAGCTGAGTGGGGCTTGAGAAAAAGGTGCTACAATACATGGTGCATGCAAAGTGTTTCATGATTGTGCCTGTCACATATTGAC